GCCTCTGTCCCCTCCTACACAATGTCCTCGGCAAGTCTCTTCCTCTAACACTTAGTTTTCTCATCTGTCCAATGAGAAGTGGATCGGCTCAAATGGGGTGTCACATTCCTCCCTCCTCAGACATTCAAGATTTCTGTTCTCATAAAGCACTCAGTACCAACCAATGGCCAAACCAGAGATGGAAGCCAGTAGCCTGGGAGCTAGCATTGGGGGCCGCAGACAGATGCCCCATGCGCTGGCTCACCTTGAACTCCTCACGGATGCGTTCCTCCAGGACCTTGGCAGCCTTCCGGTCCTCCATCTCCACTTTCCACTTCTCTGCCAGGATCCGGGCTTTCTCATTGGCCAGAGCATCCCGGAACTTCTTGGTGATTTCTGCCTCCTTCTGTCTCCTTGCAAGAGAACACCAGCAGGTATGAGCTCACGTAGGCACATAACAACAGGATTTCAAATAAAAACCAGGAGCAATATCTATCTGGTCTATCAGAATGGAATATATCTAAGAGCAGCAAAACTCAATGCTGGCAAAGGTGGGGGCAGAAATAGTCACTGTCCTGTAGGGTAATGTAAATCGACCGAATTTTTCTGGAAGCCAGGAAAAAAAATAGACTCAGAAATCCTTTTTCTCGCTTAAGATCACAAAGGTGTAGGTAGATGTTCATCAGAGGATTTTTATCACATAACAATTGCAAACAACCTAAATGTCCATTAACAGGACCAATAAGTTGGGTTTCTCATGTAATAGGATACCATATAATAATCTTTGTGAATCTATATTAATCAATTTGTCTGAGAAAACTCAGAAAATACATATAAATGAAAAGAAGGTGTTGCCAAATGCTCACCGTGATTATCGTAGGTAGTGGGTGTTGAGTTGTTACAATTTTACAATTAAAATATTGTCATTAAAAGCTGGGTGGGAGGGAATGTTGGAGTCAACTTATATGGATTTCCAAGTTGGGCAAAAAAAAGAAAAGGTTAAAAGTTGTTTATGAAAGAAGGCTGACTCCAAATCTTACCGGGGGCTCAACTATCCACATTGTATGTGAAATGCAGCTAAAAGAGAAATGAGCAGACAACAGTGAATCCAAATTCCTCTATTGTCACAGGGACAACTCAGTGAGGAATAAAAGAAATGTATGTCATCTGTATTATCTCAGTGAATCCAAACTATGTCCAGATGGAAAGGGTGTTATGCCCACACCACAGATTCGAAAACTGAGACCCCAGATCAGCTCTCTACTCACTGGTGAAGCCAGGGTTTGAACCCACAAGATCTACCTGATGAAGATGACTCTGCGGTTTTGGTCGCCTAATCTTATCTGAGTTCAACAGGGTCAGCCAGCTGCCTGGTACCTCCTCCCTCCCACCCACTGCCTGTTGTCCTTCAGCTTGGACGCAGCCTAGGCTCTGTGTTCAGATCCCACCCAAGACCCATCTGTGCCTCTCACCAGAGCTCCTCGGCCTCCCTCTGTGCCTGCAGCCTCGCCCTCTCTGCAATCAGCTCCTCAGAGATCTCTTCGTAGGGCTTGTCACCAGGACCTTCTCCCATGATCCAGACCCAGACTTCACCATCTGCCCCCAGGAGCCACCGGATGTGCTTGTCGCTCGCTGCCTCACAGCAGAAGGAGGAACAAGGAAGGAAGAAGAAACAGGTCTGAGTTCTAATTAGTCCAGGATGGGCTAGGTTGGCCAATGGTGCACCATGTTGTCTCTACAGAACGTTGTCATCTACAAAAAGCATTCCAAAGAGATAGCCTGAGTGCAGGTCCACCTCCACCTCTCCTCCCACTCCCTCCAGGGAGCAACGCAGCTGCCACGTCAGCCCGTTGAAGCAGGTGCCCAAGGCTGGAATTGGTGTCGGCGGCTGAGCGCTGTGGAGATGGACCTTCAGCAAACAGGACAGCAGGAGACAGTGCATCCGGCCTTCTCTTCCTCCCTCCTGTCCACTGGCTGGAAACAAGGAATTGGAGATAGTGTTCCAAGATACAGAGCCTAGGCCCCTGACCCGCATCTGCCTGTAACATGAGCAAGAAATAAACCTGTGCCGTATTAAGCCACTGAGATTGCTCGGTTTGCCTGTTGCAACAGATTCCATTGATTACCAGGACAAAAATGGAAATCTATGGGGCACCTGGCTGGCGCAGTCGTTAAGTGTCTGCCTTCGGCTCAGGTCATGATCCCAGGGCCCTGGGAGGGAGCCCCGCATCAGGCTCCCTGCTCGGCGGGAAGCCGGCTTCTCCCTCTCCCACTCCCCCTGCTTGTGTTCCCTCTCTCGCTGTGTCTCTCTCTGTCAAATAAATACATAAAATCTTTAAAAATGAGTAAATAAAAATAAAATAAAATGGAAACCTACTCCCAAAGCAGGGTAGTGCCAGGACAGAAATAGCAGCTGTGTGTCATTGCCTTAGCCATGAGGTGGCAGTCAGCTGCAGACTGAATGAACGGCTACGGATCCATGTTAATACAAGAGCAAAACAGCTGAGAAAATTGTCAGACACTGTAACTGGAAAGGCAGACCCTCACGCCTTTCAGACCTGCCACTCTAAGGCAAGAGATTGGAAAACAGAACATTCCAATGCCTGTTGTGTTCAGCAAGGTGTTAAGAGAAAAGAAATGAGTTCCAGGAAGAATTGAGTGCTTTGCAAGTAAAAATGAAAGGGAAGAGAGAGAACACAGAAATCTGGGACTTTGCAGGACTGGAAAAAACCAACTCCTTCTAGGGCCCAAATTACAGGAGAGGGGATTTTTTTTTTTTTTTTTTTTAAGTTTGCATGATAGAGCCCAATAGAACTTCTAAGGTGAAGAAGTGACCTAAGGCACAGAACACCGTGGTGGCCATGAGAATGTGCTCCACCGACATCCAAATGCAGGGGGCAGAACCGAGCAAGCACTTCAGTTCCTATGCTCCTGTGTTTGCCCGCCGCCATGCTTCCCAGAGTGGCTCCCAACCTTTGACTCACCATGGTGTGCCCACTCCTGGGGGACAGCAGACTCTTCGGATGGGCAACGTCAATGACTCCTTGACTGCACAGCTTGGGCTGCATGGCTATCTAGAATACCTCCTCCCCCACTTCCCTCCCCCCTTCCCAGAACACCTCCGCCTCCCACCCTCCTTCGCTCAAGGTCAGATTTGTGTTGCAGTACGATGGCTCTCCCACACTTCTCCAGGGCTCTGCCCCTTTTCTCCCATAAGGAAAATTTTATTTCTTGAATAAAGCCCTTGTTTGTGTAACCCCATCCTGTCTCTATTCCTCAGAGGAGTCAGGCTAACACAAGTGCATTAAGAGTGCAATCTCTTGTGTTATTTTTCAAAGAGCCTGAGATAGATAGATGCCCTTCGGTTGGAAGGAGAAATAGAGGCAGAGAGGTGCAGTCAACTTGCAAAATATGTCTAGAAAAGAAATTTTAGATGTGGTTACAGGGACATGGAAGCAAACAGATCAGAAACCTCCTAAGTTTTTGAGTCTGGACTAAAAAAAGCCTTTGATTGTTCGAGATGTCCGCCACCCTTGGATACCCAACCTCGATGAATGAACAGGAGGCAGGTTACAAAGGCTGTACTGGTCAGGAGGACGTGGTCCTCAACACTCACTTCGGATGAGGCTAAGGGGAACGATGAACAAAGAGAAGGCTCCTCAAGGGCACAGTCCTACCCTTATTGAAGGCTGTCCCTTCACTGCTAGGGCAGGAGAACTGCAGAGCCCGACCTGTGGGACTGCAGGAATGCTATCAGCTAGTGACTGAGTGGGGCTCACATTCTCCCCTTTTCCATAGTGGACATTCTCAACCCCCGCTCTACCACTGTGTAGTATGTTGTAAAGGTGGGGGGTGTTTAGATGACATGCCTTTTCAAGCCACATTCAGACATTAGAGAGATCAATGCAGAACCCATGCAGACTGTGGACTTTGGGCTGGAGGCAGTGACTGCATGGGACTTGAGGGTATCCCGCTTAAGGAGGTCGTGAGTGCACTTATATGGAAGAGGAAAACATAATGTGGGAGGGACCAGAATGACAATCTGTGACCACCACCATGCTGTCTGGCACCCCATTTCCCCTCCCTGAGCCCACCAGATGACAATTCTCCTCAGTTCCACGTGGCCATGTGAATGAATTCTAGACTATGGATGATGTCAGAGGAGGCTATTTATACCTTTTCAGGCTGTGACTGTTGCGGTCGGTGTGACTTTTCGATATTCTGTCCCTCACCCACCCATCTCATCCAAGATGGTGGCACTGCAAGGAAAAAGCAGCCTGATCCATGAGTCAGTGTTTGAAAGCCAGTGACACAGAAGAGCTACCCAATCCACATCAAGAAATAAACCTTCTTTATATTAATCCACTGAAATTTCAGGGCTTATCCATTGCCCAAAGCAGCATTAATTCCCTAATATAGGAGGATACTGTTACCTTTTTGCATGGTAAAAGCAACATTGTAATAGAGAAACACAGGCTTAGTTATGACTGGTAAAACACTATTAAGATTATAAAACTTCCAGAGTAATAGTGGGGGGAAATAAATGATAAGAGGCTTACCAATCTTGCAAAAATCTGTAAAAGGCAAGAGAAAACAAACACGATGCAGTTATTAGAGCAGACGATGTTGGTGCCCAGCCGCCGCCCCTCCACCCCACCTTCCTCCCTTACGGGAAAACCCTGATCTGCCCAGGGTGTATAGAGATCTTGCAGCATCAGGAAAGGCAAGTTTCTATGCCAGCCTCAAAGGACAAGCAGAATTAGTGAGGGATCAATCTAGGAAAGACCAAAAGTCTCCATTTCTGACAAAGATGTAAGCAGAAGTCCAAATAAAGGGCTTTCCCCTCTGAACTGAAGGGGAAGACTCCTTAGGAAAAACCCCTGCACGCTTCCTCTTTTATTTCCTCCTTCCTCCTCCCTGAAATGAAGACATGAAGCCTGGAATTGCTGGAAGACTTTTGCCACCATGAGGAAGAAAGCCACAACTAAGGGCGAGGAAGCAGAAAGAGAGAAGGAGGTGGGGCCCTGATGGTTTTGCTGAGCAGCTACACCAGTATTACCCAAGCAGTAACCTCCAGCGGCCTTGCCGTTTGAGACAAATAACGACCTTCAAAGAATACAGTTGTATCGTTATCAAATGAAATATGATATTAATTTGAAATGCTGATTTAATTAAGCGACTATTTGCCCGATATTCCATTATGTAAGGTCAAGCACATCCCTAACTGATTTAGATAACAAACACAAAATAACACCAAAGCCCTAAACCCTAAGTATATTCACTAACACAGAAACATGAACAGAATTATTTCCCCCATTAAAATTCTGAGACTGTCAGATGTGATTAAAAATAAAATCTAGGGGCACCTGGGTGGTACAGTCAGTTAAGCACCCGACTCTGGTTGTGATCTCAGGGTCATGAGATCAAGCCCCGCATCAGGCTCTATGCTCAGCATGGAGTCTGCTTAGGATTCTCTCTCCCTCTCCCTCTGCCCCTCCCCCCCTTCTCTCTCTCAAACAAATAAATAAATCTTTAAAATAAATAAGTAAAACCTAACTGTGCATTATTTAAATAAAATATACATTTTTGCGGGTGCCTGGGTGGCTCAGTCAGTTGAGCATCTGACTCTTGATTTCAGTTCAGGTCATGATCTCAGGATCCTGGGATTAAGCCCCTCATCCCCTGCTCAGCGGGGAGTCTGCTTCTCCCTCCCACTCTGCTCCTCCCCCTTCTCGTGCTCTTGCACATGCACTCTCTCTCTCTCTCTCAAATAAATATTTTTTTAAAAAAACATACTTTTTTTACAAGATAAAGGTTAAAAGTAAAGAGCTAGGCAGCAGTGGACCATGAAAAGGTGAGCAAAAAGAAAGCAGGAGTGGCAGTGCAAGGACAAATGTGTTTAAAAAAAAAAAGACAAAGAAGGGGCACCTGGGTGGCTCAGTTGTTAAGTGTCTGCTTTTGGCTCGGGTCATGGTCCCAGGGTCCTGGGATGGAGCCCCACATCGGGCTCCCTGCTCCGCGGGAAGCCTGCTTCTCCCTCTCCCACTCCCCCTGCTTGTGTTCCCTCTCTCGCTGTGTCTCTCTCTGTCAAATAAATAAAATCTTAAAAAAAAAAAGAAGAATATTGTGTGATAATAAAAGATGCACCCCACAAAGAAAATATAAAAGTCATAAAACTTGATACAACATACAACATAGCAGACAACTGCATCAAAGAAAAACTCCTAATGATGCAAGGAGAATTTGAAAGTGTATCTATGGTGGGTAGTTTTACTATATTTATTTCAGAAGTTGGTGGATCATGTAGATTTTAAAAATTAATAATACAGAAGATTTGAATAATTTGGTCAAAAAAATTTTATTTAACAATTACAGAACTTTATTCCTTAAGCTTTGAGATTGTACTTTTTTTCCTTTTGAGTTTACAATCATGAGAAAAAAATGTATAGGCCATAATCTCTAATAATAATATAAAAATTAGAAATTGATGGGAAAATTTAGCCATTTTTAAAAGCCATTAATAAATTAATAATTAAGAAAATATCTCCTAGTGGGCACCTGGGTGACTCAGTGGGTTAAGGGTTCGACTCTTGGTTTCAGCTCAGGTCACTATCTCAGGGTGGCAGGATCAGGCCC